CCCCCCCCCCCCCATGGGTTCCTTCATGTCTGGGGATTCTGGGGCCACTTCTCCCATCCCTGATCCAGGAGGAACACCCTCCAGGGAGTCAGAGCAGATAGGTGGCTTGGAACCCCACCCCATCCCCTCCTTCAGAGTGGAAGCCTTGCCCGAGGCCTCAGGGGCTTTCCTCTGCTGGCAGGCTGGGGCAGGAAGAAATGAGTCTGCTCCCAAGAGCCCTACGCAGCACCTCCTCTGCCACTCAGCCTCCCCCCACCCCCGGAGCAGACCAGAACAAAGTCATGATGGCTTAGATACCAAAGGGAATTAGAGGAGAGTCTAAATGGAATTTGTTACAAATCTCAATGAAATACACCCATGTTCTTTATGGAGCTTGCCAGCCTGCAGATGGAATTCTCTGCCTTCTGAGTGGGAAATGAACATTTCTGGCAGGGCTGCTGTCCCTACTTCCCTCCACCCACCCCTCTTGGATAATTAAGGGAGCTGGCAGGGGTTTGGGGTGGTCCAGGGGCTCATCTCCATGGATGAGCCATAGTCCCAGCACCCTCCCTGCCCCCTACCCCCACTGGGCCTTCAGGGCAGCATCAGCCCACCAGCTGCATGATAGACTTTCCCCTAAACTCAAGGGGGTGCACCAATGGGTGTGCACCAGCAGGAGGACCTAGACGCATGTGCACACAGGATCCACTCCAGGTGCACCCGGTGTGTGTGGGCATACTTACTACACACCCCCATCTGCACTGCCCTGAAGTACTGGCAGGACCCTTCTGTGGGTGAGCTCAGACATCCACCAAGATATGTTCAGCGGGCAGGTGGTTTCCATCCAGGGAACTTCTAGGAATGCAAGTTGGTATCCAGGAAGGCATGCGTTTACAAAGGCCACACCAATTAGTGGAAACTGTCCACCTGCCTGTGCTTGTGCTTCTCTGGTCCTGAGTTTTCCTCTCCCATTCCCTCACCTGCACACCTGGCTAGAGCAGCCCCTCACCTGATGTGAACCAGCTGCCCATGCTCCTGGAGCAGCTGGGCCAGAGCAACCATGGAGGAGGTGTGGGCCTGCCCCTCACCCCATCTCCTCCAAGCCGACTTCCTCCCTGCCCAGTCAGGTGCCCTGTGTCCTCCTCCTCTCTACAAAATACTGTGGAGATACCTGGCTCCAGAACCCAGTCAGTTATGCTGGAGCAGGGGAGCCAGCCCTGGGAGGCCCCTTACCCTGGAGCCCCCTCCAAGGTGTGGTTCTGGCAGGCCAGAAATAGCCCCTTATTAAAACACTTGCATGTTGGCTCCTTGCCAAGGAACAAAACCTTCCCCAGTGGGCACAAGGGGTGATCTCTGGAGAAAGAGAATAGAAGCAAGGACATGCTAAGCTGATGCCTCCCAGAGGATTCAGTGCATTCTCCCACCTGGACTATCTCCTTCAGCTTCCTGGGACTGGTGCTTTCTGTCTCCAGCAGCCTTCCTGGCCCTGTTTGGCAGGCTGAAGTCCCCTGCACTGCTCCACAGGAGACATGTGGGACAACACATGCCGACTGTTCCTCCTTTTCCCCAGGTATCCAGCAGCTGTGACTACGTGTTTGTGAGTGGAAAGGAGTCTCGAGGGTCCATGAACGCCAGGGTCACCTTCCGCTATGATGTCCTCAATGCCCCCCTGGAAATGACAGTCTGGGTCCCCAAGCTGCCTCTGCACATTGAGCTCTCGGATGCCCACCTCAGCCAAGTGAAGGGCTGGAGGGTACCTATCCTCCCTGACCGGAGGTACAGCCCCTCAAACACAGCAATACTCAAGATACTAACGGGTGGTCACAGCCTCAGCACACAGTCTGATCTGCATGTGTGTATAAGGCCCTAGGTATACATAGTCTGTAGGTTGCTTATGCAATCAACAAACTTTTATTGAGCAGCTACTGTGTGCCAGGCACTGACAGGTATTTGAGAGGTGGCATGAGTGTAGCTGGTGCCTGGGTGTGTGACCCAGCCAAGCTCTCAGTCCAGCAGGGGAGGTGGCCATGTACACGTCAAAAAGCATGGTGGTACATGGGGAGCCCTGCGTTCGGGAAATCAATTGGCACAAAGGAGAGAATGCCCTCTTCCTCCAGGATAAGTCAAGGCAGGCTTCCTGGAAGAGCTGACTCTTGAACTAAGTCTTAAAAGATGAGTGGAAAGGAGTTGGCTGGGGAGCCAAGGTGAGAGAGCAGTCAGGCAGACACAATGGGGCAGACACACCAACACAGGAGCACACGCACCTATACATGTGCACCCCAGCCTGGGCATGCCAAGGGCACACTCGTGAGCACATAAGCGCAGGCACACAGTGACTTACACCCAGGCTCCCTTGCTTGGGTGCAGGCTCGCACACCTGGGTGCCCATCTGTGAGGTACGTACATGTATACTCACTCCACTCTACTCACCCACTCAGAGCTGCTGGAGAGAGAAGCCCAGCAGGGAAGAGAGAGGAAAGTAGCAAGCAGCTGGGAGCAGGAGGAGAGGGGCTGGAGAGAGAAGCTGGTGGTTTAGAGAAACAGGTGGCCAAGTGAGAACCCAGCTGAGCTGAATTCAGCAGATTTGGAAAAGCAAGGTAGTGCAGACCAGAGCCTCTCAAACTTTAATCACACACAAATCAGCCGGGGTTCCTGTTAAAATGCAGATTCTGATTCAGCAGCTCCGGAGTAATGCTTGTGATTCTGCATTTATAAACGAGCAACTATCCTAGCCAGGATATAGTGAATTCTGAAGCCAGGCAGCCTGGTTTAAACCCTGACTCTGTTATTTACTAGCTCTGTAATCCTGGGCTACGTACATAATCTCACTGTGCCTCAGATTCCTCATCTGTAAAATGGATACAGTAACACCTACTCCCATAGGATTGTTGTGAGGATTAAATAAGTTAACACAAGTAAAAGAGCCCTCTGTGTGAATGAATATTCTGGTTATTTGGTCCTTCCAAACACTATCAAAGTGAAAGAGAGAAAGCTTGGCATTCCCTCCAGAGCATACCTTCCTGGCAGTAAACCTCCTCATTTTAACATCTTTTGCAATCTGCATAGGCTGAAAATTTCCCAAATCATCAAGTCCAGGTTCTCTTTTGCTTAGTAGTTTATCAATTTATCTCTCCCCTCTCACATTTTTACTAAAAGAAGCAAGAGGAAACTAGATTGCACTTTCCACACCTCACTTGGAAATCTCCTCAGCTAAGTATCCAAGTCTGCCACTTACTAGTTCTGCTTTGCACACAACTGTAGGACACAATTCAGCTAAGCCTTCTGGCATTCGATAACAAGGATCAACTTTGCTCCGGTTTAGAGCTTAGAACAGTGCCGGGCACATGCTGAGTGCAGAAGAGAAGGCAGCAGTTCCTGTTAGGATTTGATGCCAGCTGTTCCCAAGCATGAGTTAAGCCAAACAGAGGCAGAGAGGACAAGGGAGGGTCAAAAAGGCACCTTTCTAGGAGAGAGAAGGCTGGGACTCCTGGCTCCAAACTTAGATGGCATGAGCCAGGGAAGAGGCTCGCTGTTTACAGAGCTCCCACCACAGAGAGCTGGGGAGGAGCCAACAGGGCAAGGGAGCAGGGAGTGACTTGTGCAGGTCAGATCCAGGGTGAGGAGTCTTCTACCCGGTCAGCCTTAACCCTGGTGCATCCCCACCCCAGGTCAGCCCGAGACAGCGAGGACGAGGATGATGAGGAGGAGGAGCGGCGGCAGAGCGTGAGCCGTGGCTGCACCCTGCAATACCAGCACGCCACCCTGCAGGTCTTCACCCAGTTTCACACAACATCATCTGAGGGCACTGATCAGGTCGTCACCATGCTGGGCCCAGACTGGCTGGTGGAGGTCACTGACCTGGTCAGTGACTTCATGCGAGTGGGTGACCCCCGAGTGGCACACATGGTGGACAGCAGCACGCTAGCAGGCCTGGAGCCAGGCACCACCCCCTTTAAGGTAGGCATGGGCCCTGTCCCAGTGCAAAGGGCAGTGTCAGGAGCCTTGTTTAGCTGTGGGTGGAGAACTCGTGTCCCCAGAGCCTCAGCCACTGGGAGCAACCCACAGTGGCCCCAGGACACACTTTCTTCCCCACCCACCCCTCTGCCTGAAATTCCACCATCAATGGTCTAGCTCTTTGAGCTTCATCCTGGTAAAGGTTCTCACTCCAAGCCTTATTAACCTTTATCAACTTTGCCTCCCTCGGTGTGGGTGACTTGAGCAGACAGACCTCTACCTGAGAGCAGGTGAGAGTAGCAAGCCTAGAGGCCAAGAAGGCAAGTTCAGGGATCTAGTAACTCAGCTTTGACCTTCCCTGACTTGTTTCTACCCTGACAATTGGGTGTCTGGGTAGAAATCATTCACCTAAGAGATTATAAATAGTGACCCATGGGATGGAATCTTCCTGCATACATAGTTTGTAAAACAATTGATGACATTTGAAAATTGATAGTTTTCATATTTTAAAGAAAATCTAGATTTCTAGTTTTACAAAAATGAATTGGGAAACACTGGGCCTGCATTCCCACCTGGCAACAATCAGCTGGAGCCAATATTGGTGCCCCCTTTATATGATCATGGGTTCCCCCCTTGCCACAGTCCCCACCACTCCCTTTTGTCTCTCTGGCATTGAAGCTAAACATCAGTCTCTATTTATCATTGCTTAAAATCAGCCCACCTCTTTCATCTGTGTTCCTGCCTGGCTCCTGTGAGCCCCTGACCCCCTCCTGACCTCTGGACCCTGGCTGCCAGTTGCAGACCTAAGGCAGAGCCAGGACTCCTGCCTCCCTGCCCACACCACCCCTCTTCCAGCAGCACTGGGATTCCTCCCTGGTCAGGGATCCTGGGCAGGGGGTGCTGCTTTCCTGGCTGTCCCCCTACCCCTGCCCTGCTCTTTCTCAGGTGGTGTCCCCGCTAACAGAGGCCGTGCTTGGGGAGACACTGCTGACGGTGACAGAAGAGAAAGTCAGCATCACGCAGCTGCAGGCCCAGGTGGTGGCCAGCCTGGCCCTCTCCCTGCGGCCCAGCCCCGGGAGTAGCCATACCATCCTGGCCACCACGGCTGCCCAGCAGACCCTCAGCTTCCTCAAGCAGGTAACTGCTGCTCAGCTCACCAGCTGGGGAGTCTGGGGGTTGGAAGAAGGACTTGGGGGCTCTGCCTTGACCTTGCACTATAAGTCCTCAAATTCGGGCTTTAGGTAATAGAAGGTCTATCTACCCTCGTGCCCTGCACATCTGCCCCACTCCCTCGTCCTCCGTCTGCACATGGGGTTTGGGCAAAGTCTTGCTTGTGGTACTTGCCACCCTGAGACATTCCTACTGAGGGTCTCCCTCCCAGATCTTCAGAGGGCCATCACCTCTGCCCCACCTTAGGAAGTACCCGCACCCATCTCTGGAGCCCCAACTACACACCATGGTCACTGGGCAGAAGACAAAGGTGGAAAGGTGACAGGTGGGAGCCCTGGAGAGTGAGGAGGTGGGCATTCAGTGCTGAGCCAGGAGTCAGGACATAACTGTCCTCTGCCCCTCACTCACTCCATGACCCCAAGCCATCGCTCCTTTCTGGGCCCTGCTTCTTCATCTGCAGGGAAGGCAGTTCTAAGAATGTTTTGTCTGACATAGGCAGAGGCTGGAGGTGAGTATGTATTCTCAGTCACCAAGTGTCTGATGGAGATGATCCCAAGGTCAGGCATGGAGATATGGAGCTACATCTGCAGCAGAATGAACTTGAGTTAGACCCAAGGCAGAACTTACTTGTAAGTCATCAAGGGAGAGGTGAAGTGGACTAGGAAATCCTCAGGACAGTATGGGGCTTGGATGTCACAGCCACCAACCTGTGAGGAGGACTGCCAGACACAATTCCTGCAGTGGGAATACAGCAGGGAGCCAGAGACCTTTGGTCTCTGCCCTCCCAGAGCTCAGATCTGGCAGGGAAGCCAGTGGCACGAGCTCTCTGACTCTGTCCCCCCTTCTCCTCTTCCTCCAGGAAGCCCTCCTGAGCCTCTGGCTCTCCTATAGTGACGGTACCACGGCCCCACTCTCCCTCTACAGCCCCCGGGACTATGGGCTGCTGGTCAGCAGCCTGGACCAGCGTGTGGCCACCGTGACCCAGGACCGGGCCTTCCCACTGGTGGTGGCCGAGGCCGAGGGGGCAGGGGAGCTGCTCCGTGCGGAGCTCACCATCGCTGAAAGCTGCCAGAAAACCAAGCGCAAGAGTGTGCTGGCCACGACCCCCGTGGGCCTGCGGGTGCACTTTGGGCGGGAGGAGGAGGACCCCACCTACGACTATCCGGGTCCCAGCCAGCCGGGG